AAGCCGCCATGGAAGCGAAGAGAGAAGCAGAAGAAAAAATAACAAAACAGTATACAAATATAAACAAATGTTACATAGAGTCCAACAAAAACAAAAAGCTGTACTTTCCCTCCCTATTTTATCCTATTATACATATGGCAAATTTCCTATCTTGTATACATTTTGGGAGCATGATCAACAAGTACGCGTCAATATGGCGCAAAAGAAACACCACATGACGTAGGGTTCCACAACACCTATTATGGAATCGCAACAACATGTGATGATTCTTTTGGCTATATTCAGACGGCGACTTATTGTCATTGCTCCCCTCCCTGCCTCTAACAAAGACCCTGCATGGAGAGAAAAGGAGAAACAATACAACGAAGGATTTAGTTTAACAGTCATGATCTAACAATGACATAATTAAAGGAAATGAGATCTAAAATAATACGCAGTCTCATCATTACCACTGCACCCGAAAATAAAGCATGGGATAGGAGGACGAAGAGGCGGATGGGGTTGATTTTCGGAGTTTCATATTGAGAAGATGGAAGAAAGGGTTCTTTTCAGGGATCGGAGCACGGTCTCTCCTTCACTGATTAACGAATTTATAGATTGACTCGTAATTACTTTTACTTTCCCTCCCTTCACATTTACTGAAAATTACAGTCCCTACCACTGCCTCGGCCTTGGTAACGCCAGCATTGGTTATGGGCAAAAGCGACTTTCCGAATTCGGCAATATCTGATTGGGTGACACGCCGCGGTTAGGATTGAAGCTCTTTCACCATCGGATTAAACGAAAATTTAGGAATTGACGGCGGGAGATGGGGATGTGCTTTTAGACTGGCTTTGTAGATTAACTAACTTTTTCGTTTACCAAAATTAATCTACAGATTTGGTACATGTACTTGTAACCCTAAACCCTAAACCCTAAACCAAACCCTAATACACGAACCAATCAATACCATATACTCTACAACAATAACAACACCTTATAGGCTTATACCGTAACCAATCAATAACATATATACTTTAAACCATCAACACCTTGCTCCTCCCTTATACCATAACCTTCAAGACCTTATACTGTATACCAACAACACCTTCTTCTATCTCCATCCCCAACTTTCATTTTATAATAAGTGTTTCCTTTGAAATATAAAATGGAACCCACCTTGGCAATTACTAGCATAATTTAGGGATGTAGATGAATAGAAATTGTTAAGTGATGAATTGCTAAAATTGATGATGTGGCGGTAGGGACCTCGTTTAGAAATTGTTGTTCAATTTTAGGGATGAAGATGATCAATACACTAACCCAATACCATATACTCTAAACCATCAACACCTTATACAATATCGTATTTTAGGGATGGAGATGATCAATACACTAACCCAATACCATGTACGGTGCAAACCATCAACACCTTATACAATATCGTATACCTATACGCTGATAAATTAAAATTATAACTTGCTTTTCAAAACATAAATTAAAAATTGATACTCACTAAGTATCGAACCACAAACCTCTACTTTATTGACTAAGCAAATAAGAGACAATTAACCAATTAAGCTACATCACATTGATGACCATCTTGCATAATTTCGCTTTCTTATTAAGTGAAGGGTTAAAATGAACGATAAATATATCATAGGGGATTGATTCAACTTCGGCGGGGACTGAGAGAGTGGAAAAGGGGTAATTATTCTACCAAAAAAGAAAAGAAAAGGGGGAATTAATGAAGAGTTAAATTGGACGGATTGTCTTTACCACGCCACTACAAAATCATTCGGAACACGCAGGTTCAAATCAAACAATAAATGATCAGCATTTATAAGCAGATATAAAGAATTATGTCTAAGTACTGATAAATGTGTCACGCTACAATAATTATGTCTAAGTTTTTTTAGTAATAAGGCATGATCAGCATTTATAAGCAGATATAAAGAAAATATAAAATCGAGAAAAAATAAGACAACACCTACCCTCACCCTTTAACCAATCGATACCATATGCTCTAAACCATCAACACCTTATAACCTACCCATATACCATATACTCTATACCATCAACAACCTAATACCCTAAGCAGTCAGTACCCATTTCCTTTAACATCAACACCTTATACAACAATCGTATACCTATACGCTGATAAAATTTTACATTTTGAAAATACTTGCCCAACTAAAGTACATAGGTACTTCAAAAGTGAAATTCTAACTTTCGTTTCAAAACATAAATTAAAAAAATATCCTCACTCAGTATCCAACCACAAGCCTCTAATTAGTCTACAAGAGGTTTGTTATGTACGAGTGCATTGCATAAAGAGGGGAAATTGGTGAGAGTGTGGAATGGGATCTCAATTAATGAAGAGTTAAATTGGGCGGATTGTAGTTTACCTCGTACCGCTAAATGTGTAAAGAGACACGCTAGCATTTACCAAATCCCAAAAAAGATGGAACAAAGAATTATGTTTAGAAGCAGAAGCAGATGAAAATAAGTAAAACAGAGAATCGCCACTGAGATAGACAATTATCAAAGGCCCAACCTAAAGACAATCCGGAACTCGGTATCTATTATCAACAAACTAGGTGTCATGGGTCATGTACAAGCCCACGTTTGAATGTTATTTAAAAGCCTGCAAAAATCAATGATCAGACCCAGTCCAACTAGAATTAGTCCTAAACGCACCGTTAATACATAAACACAAATTAAGGAGACCTCTCCATCTGATTCGAATCAAATTAGGTCTTCTTCATCTCCTTCCTCAATCCTCTGGGCGAGACGAACACTGCATATCAGGAAACCTTAATTTCACCGAGTGATAGAAGTTTCGAGAAAATGACAATAACGCTAAGACAAGATGACAAAGCAATAGCGACATGAACCCTAGGGTTAGCAAACCTCTTTCAAGGGTTCTTTTGCAAACGAAAAGTTTGATGAACACAATAATAGACATGGTCGCCGTAATCGTGTTAGAAAGAGATAGGCGAGTAAATTCCGCACGGAAATAAAATGGCGATGAACAAAACGTCGATTTGTGGATAAAAGGATTTGGGGTTCAAAACGATGATTATGTGAGGATTTCATATTGGATGGGGATCTTCTCTTCGAATGTGGATACATAGATTTGGCGTATGAAACATGATGATGTTGGGGATTTGAGATTGGATAGGGAGCTAAATCGAATGTGGATCAAAAAATAAAAGGATTTGGGTTTCGAAACGATGATTTTGTTGGAGATTTCAGATTTGATAGGCAGCTTATGATCGAACTTCGAACTTAGAGGGGACCCTCCAAGGCGAATGAGGGATCGTAGAAGGGAGACTGGAAATTGGTTAGGGCGGCTGGTCGTATCCATAGGGTTTAACCTCTTAATTGATATCATTAAACCGGGTACAGTTAGGTTGAAGTCCAATTAATAAAGCATAAACGCTTCGTGATGCTTTTGGTAATTTTCCTTGCCCCTGGTTACCCGTACCCCGGATTTTGCCCTGGGCACCGTAGAACTCCCCATATATATATATATATATATATATATATATATATATATATATATATATATATATATATATATGGGGAGTTCTACGGTACCTAGGGTAAATTTTGGGGTACCGCATACCTTGAGTAAGAAAACGCTATCCGAAACTTGAATTGACTGATCTTTCAGACATGATATTATACTCTAACGCTTAAAGATCAAAATCGAGGTCTTAATTCGCTAAATCATATACCCAAGATCAATTTAATTAGAAACAATAATCAACGGTTAAGATTCGTCCAAATATAGGCAAAAAAATCAATGCATTATCTTAGGGTTTATAGTTTATGATTTAGATAATTAAGACCTAGGGTTCACTCATTAAGGGTTAGGGTATAGTATCATGCCCAAAAATCCTGCTAATTCGATGGCTAGATAGCGTTTTCATAATCAAGGTATGCGGTACCCAGGATTTCACCCGAGGTACCGTAGAAGGCACCATATATATATATATATGGTTATGTCTTCGGTGCACTCACTTTTTTGGGTGCATTCAATGCACCCGCCTCATAATCGTCATTCTGAGTAGGTGATTCATGTGAAAACGATGGCAATCATCCCTTGTAGTATGATGAACAAGAACCACATGAATTTTTACAAAAATCATTCAAGATTCACTTTAATTTGAATGATTCAGGGTTTAGGAATTTAGGGTTAGGGTTAGGGTTTACAATTTGGGATTTTGGGTTTAGATTCAAAATTGAATGTTAATAGGTTAAGGTAATGGGTTGATTAGTTGTGATTTTGTGTAATATCATCATATGAGACTAATGCTACCCATTAAATTTCAAAATTTGATGTATAATGACCACTTTTAGAGGTGGGTGCACTGAATGCACCCAAAAAAGTGAGTGCACCGAAGTAGCCACCATATATATATATATATATTGTAAATTTCATAAACATTTTCCGAGATAAGGTAAATAGGTTATTCATTATAAGCTAACAAATTTGTAATATTTTGTACTTTTAAATTGTACACATGAAAAGAAACAGGGTGAACCATAGCTTGTGGTAAATCTACCTCTAAAATTTAAGTTGAAGAATGCATTAGACTAACGAGACTATATAAAAAGAATATTGTAAAATATCCTAATTCCCTTCAAATATCTGAACACTTAGAAAGTAGTTACATGAATTCGGTAGAGTATCTACAGGTTGCACAAATCAAAATCCAAATCTAACCTAAAAAAGTGAGCTCTACAAAAGAAACCATCACACAACCTTAACCTTAATTTAAGCAGTATATAACAGTACATAAACCAATCTAAATATAATGGGGATTTAACAACTTATAACATCTTAAATATTATGAATGACATCTAAAACTCAACATCCCAAACACTTTCTAATGTCAAAAGTAAAGCTTGCAAAACATACATACAATAAACCAAACTACGACACCATGTAACAAATAGAGAAACCCAACCCTTCAATTGAAATCAAAGTGCGGCGGCCATGACTTCATCCACTAGCCCCACGTATAGCTCATCTGGAAACTTTTAAGACCAGCACCAGCACCAGCACATCGGTTTTTATAGTCCTTTGGCAAAGGAATGAGATTGTCAATGCATGTCCAGAAGCAGAAAGGCACCATAGAACCATCGTTCCTAACAACGAAGTAGGCCGGATAGCTCCCCACTGTGGGCATCTGAATTCGTACTGATTGGAGACCCCCTCCCGAACCAACCTTCTTCTCCCACTCTGGATCGCCCTTCTTCAGCAAAGCCAACACTACCGTTTGACTAACCTACATACACAAAACCAAAAAAATTAATCCAGTTGAGTCTTCAAAGCAAGAAAGAAATCCATAAAACTGATTGATGGCTCCAAAATGTAGAACATGCAATAAAGGCAGGGATAGGAAAATATCATAGAGCACAAATACCGGGTCGGTGATAGGAGATTCATATGGACAAAATTGATTCAAACTTCCGAAATATGAAAACATTTGTGTGGAACTCTGAAATTTCAGCCAACCCAAGGTGACACCACCTTCCCCATCTTCTTCATGATGACAGCTACAAGGACCAACGCATTGTTCTTTAAATTTCTCTGTCAAGGGAAAGATATGATCAACACATTTGATGAAGCAGAAATCCTCCATAGAACCATCTCCCCTAACAAAGTAGAAGCTTCGCAGATCACTATCGTATGCTGGATGGATTCGAACTTGAAATGATTCGACGCCAGAAGAACCAATCTTTTTTTCCGACTCTGGATCACCCTTTTTCAATAAATCCAGTAACATCAGGTGGGCATGCTTCTACAATCACACCCACAAGCAATAAATGACATGCAATCTATGTTTAAATACAGATCAAAACAAAAGTAATGGGCATGAATGAATAAACGCATTACCTCGACGAGAGTCTGATTAAGTGGGGACCTCATAAGCAACGAGTAAAAGTATCTATACATATGCGTGGGGTAATAGAATTTCTTCGAACCCAAGATGACGGTGTTGAGCCTTCCCATCCTCTCCTCCTCATCTAGCCTAGCATTTTGTTCTCATGTAAGCCTTTCACGTTCCTCTGCCACTCTATCAGCATGCAAATGACCCATGCCTCCTGCTATATGACATGCACAAACAGCAACAACACCACCACCTTGATCTTTCAAATTCTCGGGTAATGGAAGGATGTTGTTTACACAGGTCCTGAAGCAGAAATCTGCGGTCGAATCATCTTTCCTAACGATAAAGAAGGTGCGGAAGTGGCTGCACATCGTGTCATTTCGGACTCGAAATGAATCGACCCCACAACCAATCATTTTATGTGGCTCGGGATGACCCTTCTTCACCAAGTCCAGCAAGCTCGGCACGATCCTCTGCCAAAAGAATGTGCAAGCAAGCAAGCAACTGAATCAGATAACTGTACACAAGTAAGTTAATTTCACAGAGCAGAAGAATCAGAGCATTAACTAAAGCACCCCGTCCAGAAGATAAAAAATAATCTAATGAAAATCTATCAATGGTATGAGCACGATAGACTTTCACAGACAACATTATTGAAGCCTTGGATATATAACTAAAGACCCACCATTCCCTTCCCGACTTGATAGAAAGAAAAACAAGCTAAGCATAACTGACAAAACAAAGGGAGTAAAACACTAAACTACACTATACATTCCCACATCATCAATGCTCAAGCTTGTACACTCAGATTGATGTTCGAAGGAAGGCAACCTTGGCTGCAATTAAGCAAATAAACAAAGGCAGTAGCAGCAAATGAAGTGAAAAGAAAAAGCGCAACCAACAAACACATCATGGTCCTATCCTGAAGAGATGAGGATCATTCCTTGCAACACAAAGAATTAATCAGCAAAGGCGAGTGGAGATCTAGTTCCAGAAATCAAATCCTAAATTATTTATACATAAGCCATCGAACAACAGCAACCCCTAGCTAGCTCACGCGATGTATCTATCTATCTGTCAAGCAATCATTATTATATTTATGAAGACAGAGGAACAATGGAATAGAATACCCACATTGACGACGGGGAAATTTAGATAACTACCGGTCATCCACCCTTTGACAGTTTGAAACATCTCACGGGAATTCGTGAATTCCATCGTACCCAAACGGACCACCCCCTCCGTTCCGGGGGCTCCGGCGTCCTTTTTCCGCTTCTCCTTCTTCCAGACATCATCGATTCTTCCGGCGTCGCCGCTCTCTGCTTCCCCAGTTTCCTCCCTTGCTCGCTTTACAACTTCCTCTGGATTCCTTCCCCTAAAAAAAAGCTTTCTCTAGATTCCTTTCAATGGCCATATTGCGGGAGCCTAGAAAGAGAGACTGATAGGGAAGGAAGTTTGTGACAACCGTGTCGGAGGAGGTGAATTTGACTACTAACGTCGCAGAGAGGAAGAACGAGAAGAAGAATGTAGAGGAGAGGAGAGGAATTGGCCAATTAGAGTTTCCGACTACACGTACGGAATCGTTGGCAATCCCTTAGTCACTGACTAAGCCCCCCACAACCTTTGGATTGATCTGATGGTCCAGATAAATCAATTAATTATTATTAAATTAGAAGGGTAGTTTTGACATTATTAATAAATTATTAACTTCTATTTTTTGATTTTGTTTTATTTATTATTATTGAATTTTTTTTCCATATGCAACACGTCTTTTCCCTTTCCCTTTTTTGCAATGTCCAGAGAGAGATAAAGCCATGCCGGGGAGGAGAGAGAGAAAGAAAAAGGCTGCGGCGCTACGCTGGAGGAGAGAAAAAATAACAAATATGTTGGACAAAAATAACAAAGCTTACAAACATTACAAAACAACTCGACAAACATAACAAAATAACAAAGCTTACAAACATTACAAAAACAACTCGACAAACATTACAAAACATACTAACAGTACAAAATAACACTACTTACAAATACAAATCAGTAAACTTGTATTACAAATCAATGAATAGAAAGTGCAAATCATAACATAAAGTATACAAACTAGACAAACAAACATTACAAATTACAATATATACAAAATAGTCATATAAACATTACAAACACAACAGACTAAAATAACAAAGTAGAATGATAAACGATACAAACCGAATTGGTATAAACAATACAAACGGAACTTATAAACATTACAATATAGGTTGACAATCATCACGAATTCAACACTGTTGCCGAAAAATCATCCACCACCGTCTTTGGTCGCCGGAAAACTGCTCCACCGTCGCCGAAAAAGTTGACAAGAAAACCTCTCTCTCTCTCTCTCTCTCTCTCGAAACTCCATGATGGGGGGGGGGGAATATAATTCCCAAATTTTCCATCAGCTCTCTCTCTCTTTTGGGGAATTCCCCTGGAATAATGGCGCATGAGCTGCCTGGAATAATGCCGCATGAGCTGCTCGGCAATTGCCCAGGGGAGCCACCGCCGACAATTAACAACCCGACGGAGACGGGAGGCGGCGCAAGGGGACGGGGCTGGGTTAATTTTTTTTATTCATTTTATAATTAAAAGTAAAAAATAAACATGCAATTACTATATTACCCTTCATTAAATTGGATTAATAGGAGCTCTTGGATTTTAATGAGGTTGAGTGGCTGAGATTCACTTAGCCATGTGACTAAGGGGACCCCCTTAGTCACCTGATCTTGGCCCGATTTTATATATACAGTTAATAATAGACACATGTCCCAAAACAAAATCCGATACAAGTAAACTGTTTGATCAACTCGATTCGTAACTCGACAGCTATTTGAATTTACTAAAATTTAGTGATTAGTAATTCGTTGGACCTATATCCCAATTGATCCGCAAACCGATCAACCTGTAAACCAACTAGTCTGCAACTCGATTAATCTTAACCCAATTAATACACAACTTGATTAACCCGTAACTTAATAGATCCGAACTTGATTAAACCGTAACCGTCAATAATCCTATTCACAACTTCACTTAATTTACAAACACAAATATATGATAATAAAAAGGAAAAATATACTTGTATAGCCAAAACTTTCGCGTTTGTACCAATAATACATACCACTTATAGCCAGATCCGTCCAATTCTTTAACAGTATTTTTTTTATAGAACAACCTGTATTATTTCATTAATGTGAAATATTACAGTAATCAAGGATAAGTTGGTCCACCAGGAAAATTGGTGGCCTAGAGGCCCAAAGTTCAGTTTCATCCCACCCACATTGGATATGGTCCATAGTGTGGGCCGCCTTATTGCTTTCTCGGCCCGCAAACTGGATCTCCATCGACCCATCGAAATTGTCGATCATCTCTCGCACTTCAGCGCTCTCCACTCCTTCCTCCGATATCGACATCTCTTCCTTTTTAATTTGTTGCACAGCCCTGAGACAATCCGAATCCATTTCTCCAGACACAAAACCCTTCTCCATCGCAATCTCTAATCCAAACTTTATAGCTTGCAACTCAGCCAATTCCGCTGGCCATTGAATTCTTGTTCTTCTAACCGCAGCACAAACAAAAACCCCATCTCTATCCCGAACCACGATCCCCAACCCGGTGCCAGCTCCGGCAAACATCGCTGCGTCGACATTGATCTTGAAAGCGACAATGTCTGGAGGTTTCCATTGAGCCACCTGCCTGGGAGCCATCTCCGATCCTTTTTACTGATATTCAAGGTACTCAGCCAACCAACGCTCCGCTTTTCCCATTATTTCGAATTCCTCCAGTTTCTTCTTGTTCCAACACTGACTGTTCCGTTCTCCCCACATGAACCAGAGGGCCGCCAGAAATTGGGCTATCTGCTCGTCGGACTCGGTCTCGTGCAGAGCCACCATCCACTCTTCGGAGGTTAGATCCTTACCCTTCTCGAAACAAAGCTTTAAGGAACTAGGGCACCAAACTCTCCTAACCCAACTACAATCTTGAAAGAGATGGTTTTGTGCCTCCTCTTGTCCACAAAATGGACATTCATCGCACCCTTTAGTCGTTCTCTTAAGAATATTAGCTCCTGTTGGTATGATATTGTGAATCCATCTCCACGCAAACACTTTAACTTTAGGAGGGATTTGGAGCTTCCAAATTCGTTCCTAGTTAATAGGGGTGTAGATTTCTCCCATTTATGCCTCTTTGGTAGCTCTCAACGCCTTATAAGTCGACTTCACAGAGTATAGACCAGACTTATCCCTTCCCCAGATTCTCTTGTCTTCTGCTGGTTGTCTCAATATTGGGATTCTCAAAATGTTCAGTCTATCTTGAGGGAGAAAATGAGTTTGTAATAGAGCATGATTCCAGGTTCTTGTCTCTGTGTCCATAAGCTCATTCACTGATGTGTTTGAGGCAAATAAGGAAACTGGCGATTGAACTCGATAGTTTAGGGAGGTAGGAACCCATTTGTCCTGCCAAATATCAATTTTGTTTCCATTTCCCACTCTCCATCGCAATCCTTCCTTCATGAATTCTTTAGCAGCTAGGATGCTCCTCCAAATATAGCTAGGGTTATACCCTCCTTCTGCTTCCAAGATGTCACAAGTCGGAAAATACTTGGACTTCATCACTCTTGAGACTAAAGAAGTTGGATTTTGAATCATCTTCCACAACTGTTTTCCTAAAAGAGCCAGATTAAAATCATGCAAATTCCTGAATCCAAGACCCCCTGGTTTCTTGGATCTACACAGCTCCTGCCAACTAACCCAATGTGTCCTGCGTTCTGAGTCTTGCTGTCCCCACCAGAAGTTCGAAACGATACTCTGAGTTTCTTGAGCGACTGATATAGGGACTAGGAAAACCTGCATTGCGTAAGTCATTTGTGCTTGGGCTACTGCCTTTATCAAGACCTCATTCCGTCCAAAAGAAAGCAATTTCCATTTCCACAACTTCACCTTCCTTCTGACCCTGTTTACAAGATAGCTGAAAACCTCCTTCTTCCTCCTTCCAACTATAGTGGGTAGGCCGAGATATTTGGTATGAAAAGGTACTACCTTCATTCCAAGAATGGCAGCCAGTTCCTGCCTTTTTACCTCCTCCACATTAGGGCTGAAAGAAATTTCGGATTTCTCAAGATTCACCTTCTGTCCAGATTCCTGTTCGTATAGGGTTAGGATATCTCTCAATTGTATGCATTGTGGAGTCATTGCTTTTGTAAACAGAACACTGTCATCTGCCAAGAGTAGATGAGAGATCGTAGGAGCTCCTCTTTTAACTTGTATTCATGCTATCCTCTTGTCTCTCTCAGCCTTCGAAATTAGAGCAGATAACCCCTCCGCAATGAATACGAACAAGTAAGGGGATATTGGATCTCCTTGTCTCAACCCTCGAGTAGGAAAGAAAGGTCTATGTTTGGTGGCCATTAACCATAATCGAGTAGGAAACAATCTTAACACAAGCCATAATCATCGCCACCAATTTGTCATTGAACCCCAATTTAAGCATAATAGACTCTAGAAAGTCCCATTCCACCCTATCATAAGCTTTTGAGATGTCCAATTTGGCTGACATAAAGCCTTTCTTCCATTTTATCCTGCCTTTCATTGAGTGGAAGCACTCAAAAGCCACCATAACATTATCTGTGATAAACCTCCCAGGAACAAAAGCACTCTGAAACTCATTAATCACTTTGGCCAAAATTTGCTTGAGTCGATTAGCCAGGACCTTAGATAAAATTTTGTTAAGTACCCTGCATAGGCTGATAGGTATATAATCCCTCGGGCTCACTGCAATTTTTTCTTGGGAATCAGTACTAGCAGAGTATGATTGAGAGTCTGAGGAACGTGCCTGTGTTTAGGTAATTATGGAGCTCATTTGTGACATCTGGTCCCACAATATCCCATTTCTTCTGAAAAAAGAGAGCTGACATTCCATGCACCCTGGTGCCTTGTGAGGTCCCATTTTCTTTAATGTTGTCCAGATTTCCTCATTCGTGAAGGGTTTTAGGAGTTCCTCATTCATTTCTGTAGTGACTTTGCATGGGACTGCTTCCAAAATATGACTTATAGAGACTCGGTCACCTGTAGTGAAAATAGATTTAAAGTGGTTAGTTAAAACATTGGTCACTGCACTGTGACCCTCCCTTATTACTCCTGTCTCATCCATTAGCTTGCTTATAGTGTTTCTGTTCCTTCTATCAGACGCCTTCCTGTGAAAGAAGTTTGTGTTTTTATCCCCTCCTTGAAGCCAATCTGCTCCGGAATGTTGCTTCCATATCAACTCTTCTTGCATCATAATCTCATTAAGCTCCTTCTCAATAGCCTTTCTCTGTAAAATTATTGTTGCATTCTTTTTTCTTTTTTCCAGTA